GGGATCAAGAGCTGACTTAGATTTTGAATAAATGGGGAGAAAAGTAGCCAGATGGCTAATGTACAGGGTTCTTCTCCCTCTGGTGCCTGTGCCCTGGCAGCAGGCAGAGATCCTCAGCAGCCGTAAGAGACCCACATGTCTTGGCTATCCCATGAAGAGCACAATAAAAGGACTGCACTTAATAGTGTCAAGGAATTGCCTAGGACTTCTCACCCCTAAGTTTGGGGGACACACACGTATTTAAAAATCCTGCTGGGAGCAGAGCATTCCCCAGATAACATGGGTGGGCTTAGGGTAAACACAAGAGCTCACATATTCCTCTGGCTACCCTGATGGCCAGCCAAATTCGACCTTTATGGCCAGAGAACCTGGAGCATAGAGTAGAAGCAGTGAGCACCCCAGGTTCTAGATCCAGAGACATCTGCCTGCCTCTTCCCTTCCAATTCTGTAGTGGTTTATGCCACATTAATTCCCCTCTAGGGTGCAGGTCTCCTTATCATCTCTTACCTTGTACATTCTATGTGGCTCCTTGGATTTTAAATTCTTTGAAGGCAGGGTCCAGAAACCATACTACTTTTCAGGCACATTTTACAAAGTACATCTAATAGGAGCTCAAAAATTTTAAATATGGTGGTTATATAAATCAAGTTGAAATGAAAACTGCCATGTTGATTTTTGCGGCAACAATAATTTATTTTCCAAGGTAAAAGTTTAAATAAATAATGAAAAATAAGTTAATTCATAAATTAATAAAATATTTAAAAGTCTTATAGTGTCCCTTCAAATGCAGGGCATTAGCTGTCAGTCACTTAAAGAGCATCTTCTGGTCAAAGAATGCTTGAAATTATTGTCTGTTGTCAGAGGCACAAGCTGGGAGATCTTCAGTTTTGGAGGTAATTTGTAAGTCTGTTAATGATGACAAAGTTGTTGAGGATTTCCACTCGGACTACTGTCCAGGCACAGCGGCTGTAATCCTTGGTCTTCAAGTACTGCTTGATCCTCGAGTAATAGTTCTTCAGGGACAGGATGCTCTCGTTTCCCAAGGTGAAGCTTTTCTCCTTCACTTTTTCCTTCAGGAATGGCTCCAGACGGTCCATCTGCCAATCAAGGTTAGCAAGGAGGTCCTTAACAATGGTCTCATTCCAGCCAGTGCTGGAGAAATTGCTTCTGAATATACAAAAGATGTTCCAGAGCATCTCAGAGATGACCGATGTGGCATGCTCCTTCTGGAACTGCTGTGGTTCCTTAATCTCCTCAGGGATCTCAAAGTTCATCCTGTCCTTGAGGCAACATTCAGGACACCCATTCAATCTCCGAAGGAGCTTCAGACACTCCAAACTGCTGCTGCTTTGTTGACGTCGAAGCAAGCTGTAGCTCGTGGGAAGAGCTGTGGTGGAGAAGCCCAACAGGAGGGCGATTTGGAGGATGCACCAGTGGTTCATGATGGAAACACGAACAGCGTTGCCTGCTGCTTGTGCACCAGAGCAAAGGCTTCAGGAGCTGGCAGTGCAAATGCCCTTCTTCCATGAGTAGGAGCTATTTATACAGTAGGGTCCTCTCTACTGCAGAGGAATTTCCCACTTTCAGTTCTCCCTTTCAGTTTTCCTATGTCATTTAAATTATTAGTTGTTTTTCAAGTCTTTTTCTTTAAGCTTGTATTTTCTATTATATATATTAGGGGGAAAGATACACAAACTGGGAGGATTTCTAATGTTCTGTAAAGTCTCAGGGAATTGCTAAAGCAAAAGGAAAATGAAAAAGAACTTGGGAGAATGCAAAGGAAAGCATAGAACCTGGGAACCCAAGAACCCCAAAGTAGCCAAGAGGTATTTACTGAAAAACCAATCGGAGAATATCGGCTGAAACTGGCAAGGGTTTTGCCCAGTGCAATGATAGGTGAGTGTGAGAGGGCCTTGGTAAGCTCGGAAAGGTGCTGCAATAGTCTAGGGTGTGAGACATTTTCATCCCAACCGGTGACAGCTCCCTTCTGGGCTAGGGCTCTACACTGAGGAGAAACTGCTACAGGTGGAGTCAAATTTGAGCAGGACAGAAACAACAGAGACGAGGAAAGAGAAGGCCAGACCAGTGCGGGGTGGACACGGCAGAAAGCAAGCTGCCACGTTATTGAACACTTCAGAAAAGCAACAGAAGAGGGAGCTCTGAGGACCAAGAAACCCCAGTGAAGCACTTCTAGAAGCTCAGGAAGAGTAAGCTCCTACAAAATAGAGCAACAGAGAAGTATTGAGACAGTGTTTCATGCGTAGTTATATTAGAAAGAAGAGAATACGGAGCAGAATAATATTTCTGCAAATAATGAGATATTCCAGGATGCACGCACAAAACAGATCAAAATGGTAACATAGTGTACATAAAATATAGTATACATATGGACCAAAAGGAATTATTTCTAGAAAACTGAAGATGGTTTAATACTGTTTGGTAGGTATAACATTACATGGAACAGACTATAAGGTCAAATGACCAAAATCTAGAAAAGAAATTGGGTGTACTAAAAATAATATTGGAGGAAGGAAGACCTTTCTCATCAGGATCTAAAACCAAGAAAGTATAATAGAAAATATTGATAAATATGACTATAAATAAATTATAAGTTTCAGGATGACAAAAGAAAAAAAATAAGTTAAAAAGTAAGAGGAATATCAAAAACATAATCACAATGCACCAGGAGAAAGGGATAATTTTCTTCACTTTCAAAAAGCTCCTAAAATAAGTAACAATCTAATAGAAGATTTATAAACAGCCAAATATCAGGAAAGCAATATAAGGGACCAATAAAGATACAAAAATCTGCTCAGTGTGACTGATTATGAAAGGTAAATCAAACTAGTAATGAGGTAACCATTTTTCACCAGATTTGCAAGAGGCTTGGGTAAATGGATATTCTAATACACTCTCAATGAAAGTATAAAGTTATGCAAACTTTTTAGAAAGTAGTAAAGATTGATTTGTCAGAAATATCCAGAATAACATCTCCCATTCCACGTGATAATGTACAGTGTGAGTTTGACTCTACCCATGAAGAGTTGGGGTCTATCTCTCCTCCTCTTGAATCCAGGTAGAAGCAGCACTGCATAAATTTTGAGCTGGGACAAGAAAGATGATGTAACTTGTTAGCTGGAATCCTTGCTCTTGAAATCTTCAGCCACCATGTAAGGATCTGACTGTTCCGTAACTGCCGTGCTCTGAGAAAGCACAGCCCAGAACACCAGAAGAGACCGTGTGGAAACTGGCAGTGTATTTCAGAATTTAAAATTTCCAGCAATGGAATTGTTTCTTTAATTTGCAATACCATGGCTAGGAATTTACCTCTGGCTATCTCTGCAGAAGCATGTGTGTGAGTGTATATCATACACACATCCACAGCACACATGAGTGTTCATTGCAGCACTGTCACAACAAAAAAGACAAAAAGTCATCAGTAGGGAGCTGGTTAAATAATGCTATAGTACCAACAAATGGAATACTATTCAGGCATTCAAAGGAAGAGCAGCTGATATGAACCTCTATCACAGATATATTTAATGAAAACAACAATACGTATACGTATGGTGTTATCATTCGTTTTGTAAATTAATAGAAAGGCACACATATGTGTGCTGATACGTGCATATGATTTTTTTCTCTGGGCACATTCTCTCATCTCTTAATAGCAGTTACCCAGGAGCTAATGCTGATGGGGTGCGGATGCAGCGAGGAAGAAAAGCTTTCCCTTTTCACCTTGTACCTTTACAACTGTTTGAATATGGATTTTTCCTAATGATAAGAAGATATCTGGGAGATAGAGGTATTAGGCCATTAGGTGACTATCTTTGTAAGTAGAGAATTTAACGTTACTAAGTTTCAATCTTGCCTTTGCTTTACTCACATTTAAAAATTTTCTATAATGGACATGTATTACTAGAGTGGATAGAAAACAAAAAACCTACCCAGTTATATTGAAAAGTAGAACCTAAAATTGTACATACAGCACAGCTATGTAAAAACATGTAGAGGAAAAAATAAAAGGAGGTATATCCACATTTTAAAAGTGGTTTTTGTTTGGCTTGTGAAACTAAATGGTGACTTTTCCTCCTTGTTTTTCTTTGTGTTTTTCCAATTTCCCACCAGTGAACAAGTATTCCTTCATAATACATTAATTTACACTAAAAAAAAAAAAACAAAAAACCAACAAGCGCCAGCCTTTCTGGTCATACTGCCTCTTCTGTGTGTTTCACGTTCTCTGGCCTTTTGGCCTTTGTATACCAGCTCTTAGCAGAACCTTAGTCATCTCATGGGTTTTAGAAACAACGCATTTCTAAAACAATGAGGTTTAGAAAAATCAAAATCACCTCTCAACTGTTCCACTCTTATTTTATTTTTTATTTTTTAAATTTTTTTTGTCCTTTTTGTCTTTTTTCGTGACTGGCAATGGATCGCAACCCTCAGTGTCGCGCCTGTACTGGACCGGGACCAGCAACGGGATTGCAACCCTCGGCGTTGTGCCCGCACCTCGCTCAGCCAGTGAGCGGGAACCGGTCTGTATGTGGGATCCGAACCCTCGGCGGGAGCGCCACCACGCTCCCAAGCAGCGCGCTGTAGCAGTGCGCCACCGGGCTGGCCCAACTGTTCCACTCTTAAATGTCTAGTTATGTCAGTGGTTGATTAATCCTCGTAGTTTCTTTTTTTGAAAAGCATCGGTAATACTATTGCTTTTGGGATTTGGTTTGAACATATACATTTTGGGGGAACATAAACATTCCAACCATAGCACCTCCCAAACATTATTCCCTCTCTTCTACCCCATCACTACTTTCCTCCCTCAACATCACTACTATACTGCCTTTTAACACCTTATAAACTGCCTGTTTTTTAAACTTTTTGTGAATAAGTTCTTTTACTTGATATGTCTGTGAAATTCATCTATGTTGCTGTGTGCAGTTATAGTTTATTAATTTGCATTAATGTCCCATATTCCATTTTAAAATATGCCACAATGTTTTATATTTCTCATAGTTTTAATTTACAGCTCTCTGTTTATTGATGTTTCAGCATCTTTTTATATGTTTATTGGCCATATGGAGATTTTCTTTGTGAACGGTCTTTTCAAATCTCTTGCTGACTGTGTCGGATTTTTTTTCACTGTCTTCAAATGATGTAATTTTGTACATACAAAATACAGAATAAATATAGATAAACTACTAGAATTTAAAAACTCTAAATTTTGCAATATCTTTGAACACATGAACAATATTGAAAATCAGTCACCTGTCTTTATACCAGTAACTAAAATTTAAAAATTACATTTAAAAAATAATACATTGATAATAACATAAAAAAATAAACTACTTAGGAATAAATTTAGGTAAAGAAGTGCAAGACTGCTACGCAGAAAACTACAAATCATAACTGAAAGAAATTAATAAAGATCTACATAAATAAAGAAATGGAGAGACATACCATGTTCATAAACTGGAAGACTCAATATAGTAAATTAATTATAGTAAATATAATTTCTCTCCATATGAATATATAGATTCAATGAGTTCACACACAAAAAATGCTGTTTGTTAACATGAAAATCTTATTCTAAAATTTATATAGAAGAGCGAATGACTAAGAATATCTGTCTGAGATTCCATACACTGACTCTCCTCCATAGTTTTTGTTTTTGTTTAAAAAAAAAAAAAAATATATATATATATATATATTTAAAATTTATATATATATATATACACACATATATACACATATTTAGGGCAGTTTTAGAGTCACATGGAAATTCAGAGGAAGGCACAGAGATTTTCCAAATACCCTCTACCCCAACACATGCACAGGCTTCCCCATTATCAATATCCCCTACCAGAGTGGTTCTTTTGTTAAAATAGATGAGCCCACACTGACGCACCATTAACACCCAAATTCCTGGGCATTCAAGGTCTAATCCCGAAGAGTTTATTCTCAATGCAACATTCTATTCAGTTTCCTACAGAATCCTGCTTCATCTGATATAACTGGGCTTCTCTTTTATCTGTTTGGAGAGCTCACTGCTAAGGCACTAACTTGGCACCAGACCTGCTTTCTCTTCAGAAAATGTGTTTAATCTCCTCTGTTATTTCAGATATTCTTCTTCCTTCCACAGGTTGCCTGTGGAATTACAGGGCCCCAGTGCAGCCAGGAGTTGACATGAGAGTGAGAACCCGTAGTTAAAAAAACATGTGAAATCAAGCCTTGGAGTAATATACTTACTATTCTAAGTATATTAATACTCGCAATTCAATCCTCTGACCACTCCCCTGAATATACACGAATTAATACAACATGTATTTCTGGAACTCTTATATGTGAAAGTTCTCATTCTAGTTGCTTTGGTACATACACATCAGTTCACAAATGAGATTGTGTCCTTTCATTATCGCCACGTTAGCAGAAGACAGAGCCACAG